CTGTATGGCCGTTGCTGTGTGGTGCCAGGTCAGGCTGTGGCAGAGCAAGAGGGGATAAGGTCCCCCAGCATCCTGTCCCCACGGAGGTCTCGGGTTGGGGATAGAATTCAGGTTCCTTCCACTGTGTGTGCAGCCGTAGGCATCGGGCTGGCGTTGCTGCTTCCCAAAAGTTACAGAAGCAACCTCGGCTGAATTGCAGCGTGGCCGCCCACCAGCTCCCTGCGAAGGGATGCAAGGGCTGGGTCAGGTGAGGAGGCAAAAAGCAGGCTGAAAGTTTTGCAGAATAATTAGTGTGAGCTCAAAAGTTAAAAAATCAGAAGTGGTAGCAGGGAGGAGCGGGATCCCCAGGTGTGCTGGCAAGCAGTCGCTAATCAGAGTGACACGTTTTGGTCTCGGAGATGGCAGTGCCCTCATCCAGCTCTTCTCCCAGACAGCTGTAAAAGTTAGTCTGGACCGAAGTTCAAGTGCCCAGGAGGGTCAGGGGGACCCGTGTCCAGGGGTCGCGCTGGGAGCTGGGCGGTTTGGCCGTGCTGCTGCAAAGACCTTCCACGTGGCTGTGGTGCCGGGGAGCAAATATCTCTTGTGGTATCTGCTGAAGAGCATCAGTGTTATTTAGTAATAATATGCAATATGCATATATATATGCATATATATGCGTATATATATACACATATATATGCATATACACACACGCATATATTATATATACACATATATATACAAATTTATACACATATATGCATATATATGCATGTAAAACACGAATTTTTATGCTATATGTACTATGCAATAATGCTATGCAACGTTATTACATAGACGCAGTGATGACACTCAATATTATGACGAGGTGCCGCGGTCCGAAGGAGCAGGGCGGTGGGAGGCCGGCGGGTGAGGGGTGCTCAGCCTTTCCCTCTGCGGTTGCAGGGAGGCCAGACCGCCCTGATGCTGGGCGTCAGCCACGAGCGGGACGACATGGTGCGAGCCCTGCTCTCCTGCCGGGCCGACGTCAACCTTC